TCTTGATGATGATAATGAAGATGAAAAAAGGTGGCTGAACAAAACGGCCGGTTCGCCGATTTTTGAATTTTCTCTTATACAAGGTCTAGAGCGACGCTAGTGGTACCAATGGAGTCCTCTGGTCAAGATGAGGTCCTCTAAGAAGTCTGGTAAGCATAGGAGTTCGTTTTCTGGGTATAGCAAGGCTGCAAAAGTCGTGGCAGCCATTTTGTTTGGGGGTGAATCCTACTTAGTAACACTACTGCGTTACTAATGTAGAACATTAAGGGATGAGCCTAAGCTAGCAAAGCAATCATAGCACAGGATTTATCCATCTATGATCTACTGCTGATGATTTCAAAGCATGCATTATGATTTAAGCATAGCAAGCATGCATGTTGTACATGATGAAAGCTAAAGATGATAAAATCACTATAGATCATTTATTTTATTTAACTTTTAGTCTTCTAGTTTAACATACACATTTCTTGCCTAAAAATGTCTGTAAAGATGCTTTACTTAGCTTTAGATATAATATTATCCAATGTTAAGATGAGAAGAGGCTTGATCAGTTGACTTTCAGTTTTTATAGCAAATGCATCAATAAATACGAGCTTCATAGCTTCTTAATTGAATGTAAAGCCTTTTATAGCTGCTAAAGAAGTCTCTGGATGATGTATCTGCCTTATATTGCAGTTACTGCTGATAGATTTCTTTCAGTGTGTTGGTTGCCATTTTTATTCTACTATGACCACTCCCTGTTTTAATGAAAAATTGAAAATTGACTTTATATGGCATTGGTAATGCATAGAATCTACCGTATTAGATCTACACATAAATAGGGGTGACGTACGAGGACATACAGACATACAGACAGACAGGGCATGACTGAGAGTATAGCTAGAGTGGGGAGAGCTCAGGCTTGCCCCAAATAAAAGACTCAGTACATCAGTTACTCTTGGTACAAAATACACTATGAACTTGATAGAAGAAGAAATAAATAGTGAGAAGAAAACTAACCTAAAGTGATTAGAACTCAGTCTGATTAGTTACTCTTAGTATGAACTATTCTATGAAACTATATGTTCTACTGACCGTTTTCTATTTGTTTCCTTCTCAAATTCATTGTATTGTTTAAAATATGAGATGTGACTGATTAGACTGAGTTGTTATCATTGGATGTTGGTTCGGAAATGTTTCGTGTTCTACTTCTGACTATTCTTTTCTCAGTATCATAATTTATTTTATATGATAAGTGACGTATGAGACTCAGTTGCTATCCTTTGAGGTTAATTTAAAATATTCATGTTCTATGTTTATTTGTCACTATTCGTTTCTTCTTGTCTCAGGTCCATAGTAGAGTCTATACCAGGAGTGACTGATCTGACTGGGTTTTTATTGTGATGTCTCTTTTTACATGTTTAATTTTCTACTGACATTTAACTACTTTTTTCTTTTCTCAGTTTTATAGTATAGTTTATACCAGCAGTGACTGATCTGACTATATTCTTATATTTTGTAGTTGTTTTAAAAGGATGTTCCATGTACTACTTTTGTCTCACCATATGCTTCTTTCTTTCAGTTTCATGGTACAGTTTATACCATGAATCTCTTAATCATATCAAGTGAGTTTTGTTATATGTTACATAAAATACTGACTTTAAATTTTTGTTTCTTTTCTCAGTTTTATATTCAATTTTTACCCGGAGTGAGTGGTCAGACAGTTATAATTTGAGGCTGGTTTTAAAATGATGTTTCATCTACTATTAATTTCCCACTACTTGTTTCTTTTAATACTTCCATAGTATAGTTTATACCAGGAGTGACTGATTAGACTCAGTTCTTATCATATGAGGTTACATTTTGAAAGATGTGACTTGAACTACTAACTTCTCTTTGTTTCTTCTTTTTTAGTTTCATAGTATTATTAAGACTAGAATTGATTTATGAGACAGTTACTATCATGAGAGGTTCGTTTTTAAAATATTCTTTTATGTTCTACTTCTCACTTTTCTTTTTTCTCAGGTACATAGTATAGTCATTCTAGAATTGACTAATGTGATTTACTGTGATGTTTTCTTAAAAGTGCTTCAAGACAACTATTTTATTCTATTTTATAGTATAGTTTATACTAGCAGTGAATGATGTGACTACGTTATTTTCATTTGTGGTTATTTTAAAATGATGTTTTATATAATACTTCTCACCACTAGCTTCTTGCTTTCACAGATTTATGGTACTGTTTATACCATGAGTGACAGATCAGAGTGATTTCTTCTCATTTTGGTTTGGTTTCGAAGTGATGTTTCATGTACTACTGACTTCTTTCAATTAGTTTTTTTTCTCAGTTTCATATATACAATTTTTTAACATACCAGAAGCTACTGATAAAGCTGGATGGATGTTAATATGAAAATGACATTCCATGTTCTACTTTTAACTATTTTGTTTATTTTCTAAGTTTTATAGTTTGTTTCATACCATGAGTGACTGGTAAGACTGAATTCTTATTTATCATTTGAGGTTGGTCTTTGACAAAATGTTTCATGTTCCAGTTCTCACTATTTGTTTCTTTGTTTCTCAGTTTCATGGTATGTTGCATAGCTACAGTGATTGATCATTTTATCATTTGACCATTTTTAAAAATGTTTGATGTACCTTTGACAATACCAAGACTATTCCCATTTACAAATTCTTAATTTTCTGCCATAAAAATCCCTAGTCTGCTTTCATGGCCAGATTTTCTTGTTTTTGATATGACAATTAAAGTACCTCAGTCGGAGCACTTACTCCTGGTATAAACTATACTATGTAACTGAGAAAAAAGGTAACAAAGAGTGAGACGTAAAAAGTACATTACAAATCATTTTAAAAGAAAGGTTAAATGATAAAATGATCTGTAACTTCAGGTATATGTGATATTACAACCTAAAAAATGAAGAAACTAATGTGAAGTAAGTGGAATATAAAACATTAATTGAAAAAATAACCACACATGACAAGAATTTTGTCTCTAACTATAAATATAGTCGTCAAGGTGAAAAAAAGAATTAACAGATACTGTAACTCGTTTAGTCAAGGATGAACTACCATCGTATTCAGTACAAAAGGATGGCTAAGGCAGATGTTGAAAACATTTGATAATAGGTATGAAATTCCTGACAAGAGCAAGTTGCTCTGGTCAGGAACGGCAGTACCAGAGCTTAATGCTATCACTAGAAGAAGATTGGCAAAGCAAGTGGCAGCTGTAAAATATTTTGCTAGTACCACTGACTTATGGTCAAGCATTTATCTGAAGCCATTTATTAGCTATACTATTCAGTATGTGACAGACAATTTGGAACTAGAATGTCTGTCACTTTGTACTAGCTACCTTCCCCAAGATCACACTGGGGAGATCATTTCTGACATGTTATAAGCAACTTTAAAAGAATGGAGCTTGAAATCATTGCAACAAGTTTGTATTACTACTGATAATGCTGTGAAAATTACACTTGCTGCAGAGAATTCGGGATGGACTCAACTGTCACCTTCACCTTGCCATTACCAAAGCTATAGCTAAAGATAACTGGTGTTCTAGGGCTCTGGGGATAGCTCACAAAATAGTGAGTGCTATTTCTGTAAGCTAAAAGCGACGACAAGACTTGACTAAATGTCAACTTGTTGATGATCTTCTAAAGCATTCACTGGTCTCGGTAAGTCACTAAAATGAAGAATAAAATTAATAGTCATTACAGGATAAATTAACTTATCTTTTATTGTCTTTACAGGACTATTCCACATGATGGGGGTCAGCACAGAAAATAATAGAGAGAATATTGGAATAGGAAAAAGCCATTTGAGTTGTTGTTGGTTCAGATCAAAAGGTTTCAAACCTTGAGCTTAGCTGGCAGGATTCAGATGTGCTGACTGCAATCAATGCAGCACTGCCTCCATTGGCTGAGTTTACTGATCCGATGTCTGGTGAAACATATGTAACTGGCTCAGCTATATTGCCTGCCATCGATTTTCTCACAAAATCTGTTATAAATCAGAAAACAAATGAAAAACCTCTCACAAACGAGCTACACCAAGCCATACTTTTGGATCTACTGACAAGGAATAATGACTCAAATGTAGTTTATCTTTTAGAAGTCTGTTCATTCTTGAACCCTCGTTTCAAGACAATATACATAAAAATGAAGACAAAGTGAAAGAGACAGTTTATAGAGATGGAAGACAAAGTGAAAGAGACAGTTTATAGAGATGGTATCACAATGTATGACTCTACCTGTGCATCCATTAGTAGTCAGTCAAATTCACACATTGTTCCTCCTGGTGAAAAAAGAACATTATTATGGTTGAACTCAAGCCCCTTGTTCTATTTTTTTGTCAACCCTACTTTTTCTTATTTATTACAAATTTTATTTATTTATTATAATACTATTAGAGCAAATAACACTTAGATTACATAATGAATCTTGCACACAGTGGAACCTCAATGTATAATTTTCAAAATCAAGCCTGAGACCAATATTGTATACAAAATTTTATCATGAAGGCAACAACAATTATAAAGGCATATGCAAGTAATCAATTGATGTGATTTATAAAACTTTAACTATCAACAACCCCCAAATAGTAGTTCAGACAAAATGAAAAGTGATTATAAGTGCCATAAACCTATATGTATCATCACGCAATTGCAAACATTACACACAGTGGCGTAGCTAGGGTAGGGCGGACTAGGGCTGCAGCCCGACCAATGGTACTGTTTGCCCCAGCAAGAGCTGTCATTGCCCTACCAAAATTACCATCCGCTAATTAAATCTATTTTACTTAATGTACCTCATTGGTGTTAAAATCTTCTAAAAATAATTGAATAAAACCAACTGCAGCAGGCTTTCAGGACTTGCAGCTCAAGCCCGAGACCAAGCGGCCATGTCATGGGTGTGGTCGTCTGTAACTACTACTACTACTACTACTACTAATAATAATAATAATTATTATTATTGAGCATGCAAAAATCAATAATAAATTATATGAGAAGCAGTTGTGTCTGTGACAGTGATCAGAATGAAGTTGAACCTGTTTCAGAAGCTCATCAAGTAAGTTAAATATTTACTGCATGGTCATAAGAGCAATTCTCTCATTTCTCTGTCTTTGTTAATTAAGGAGTCTGAAATTTATGATTATAGTGACTTCAATAGCAATGAAAACTTAACTACGAATATAGATCAACATGAGGATGAAAACATGGTGGTTTCAACAGAAAGATATAGTATTGAGACAGTTGAGACATCAAGGACAACTCCACCAGCCGAGCCACCAGCTGCACAGCAGTCAGCAGTTTTAACACAGCCTAACATCAGTCATACTCCTAGAAGTGAGCCAACTGATCTTGCATTAGGACCAAAAGATCGACCAAAACAACCAATCATAACGTTTCCATCTCGCACTTTTCGTACTAAAAAAGGAGCTTTTAGTCCAGTTGGTATAAAGCAGCCCTGTGGTTGGAATATTCTGTTTCTTCTGATGCTGCCTTTTGTTACCCTTGCAGAGTATTTAACAGTGGTCCAGTAGGCAGATCTGAGAAAACATTTACTCAGACTGGCTTTCGAAATTGGAAGAATGCTTTTCGAAAAAGTGGCGTTATTTCTTCCCATTCTTCTTGTGAGTCTCACAAACAGGCGACGATTAAATGGAAAACTTATCTCTCAAACCATAAGAGGCACACAACTGTGCTTGACAGACTCCAATCACAGAAATTTGGTCAAGACAAATCAGCACTATATTATATCTATATTAGAAGTTCTACTACTATGTGCTCAGCAGGACTTGCCATTACGAGGGCACAGAGAGTACAACTCGCATAACAGAGGAAATTTCCTTGAAATTTTGTCAACTATTGCTAAGCATGACAAGATTGTTGAAGCCAAACTGAAAAATGCTCCACAAAACGCTATTTACACTTCTCCCGAAATTCAAAACCAGCTTCTTCAGCTAATGGGTGAGTCAGTTCGTTCAATGGTTTGTCGTGCTGTGAAAGAGGCAGTGTTCTTTTCATTGCTTGTTGATGAGACCAAAGATGCCAGCAAAGTTGAGCAAATATCTATTGTGCTTCGGTATGTTGATATCAACACTGCTAGTATATATGAGCGATTTCTGACATATGTTGAAGCTGAAAGTCAAGGTGCAGAGCAAATCACTCATTACATTACTAGCACTCTGAAAAAGTATGACATAGATTTAAGGAACATGGCATCACAAGGCTATGATGGTGCCTCTGTAATGAGTGGTACCAACTCAGGTGTTCAGAGGCGTATGAGAGATTTTGCTCCAGCAGCAATAGATGTCCATTGCAATGCACATTGTTTAAATCTTTGCCTTGTAGATAGTGTAAAATCTGTCTCCTTAGCAGGTGAATTTTTTGTCCTTGTTCAGCATCTTTATGTTTTTCTTTCATCAGCAAAAAATCACGTGACCTTTGGGAACCATCAACAGCGGAGCGGTTGTATCCTGAGAAACAGCAAAGGCAATTACAGAGACTGACACATGGTGGGCCTGTCGCCAAAGTGCTATCAGTGCAATTTGCTCCACATTTGATACAGTTATTGCTACATTGTCAGACATTACTTGTGGAAAAGATGCCAGTAAAGCCACTGAAGCAAGGGGGATACTTTTGCAAGTTCAATCCTTTCAGTTTGTATTGTGCTTAATAATTTTTGATAGACTTCTGACATGTATCAAAGGCTTATCTGATGTGCTTCAGTCTGTACAACTTAACTTAGATAAAGCAGCAGGACTGGTTGTTGGAACAATAAAAACCATAGAGAGCTTTCGGTCTGATGAAGAATGGATAAAGCTACTCTCATATGCTAAGAGTGTTGCAGATGTCCATGACATTTCTACTCATATTCCAACAGCCAACAGCTCTAGACAACGAAGAAGAGCTGTGCCACAACGTTATAGTGATGAGGTTGTCTTTGAAACAACTGGGTCACGGGAATGCCCTTCTGAAGATGATGCTGACTCAATATTAAAAACCAATCTTTATTATCCAATTCTTGATGCAGTTCTTGTGGAATTCAATTCTTGCTTTAGTAAAAAAAACCTTGAGCTCATGAAATCGCTACATGCATGCTGTCCAACAGCAGACGAATTCCTTGAAATAACATTGTTGAAGCCCCTAATATTGGCATATAATTTGGACTACCAGCAATTGATAACAGAGACTACACTTGCCAAAGCCAGCTTGCAAGGAAAGAAAATGGAAGATGTAAGTGATGCCCTTTTAGAGCTGATACCTTTAAAGGTTGCATTTCCTAATCTTATCCAGCTACTCCAAATTGCCCTGACTATTTCTGTCTCTACAGCCAAGTGTGAGAGAACCTTTTCAACCCTCAAAAGAATCAAAAGCTACTTGAGGACAACAATGTCTGAAGAAAGGTTGAATAACATGGCAATTCTTTCGATTGAGCATGACCTGGGTAAGGCAATCGACAAAAAGGAAATTATATGTCAATTTTCTCAAGCAAATCGGAGGATTTATTTACAACTTTGATCATTTGATTATACTATACTAATAATTTAATGTTGTTATTATTTATTAATAATAATAATAACAATAATTATTATCAATAAAATATAATAGTATCATCAATAGAATCAATTGGCGCAGCACAGACTGAGTCATGAATGGTGTTGGTAGTATGCTGAAGTCTATATTTGTGCAGCGTACAGGAAAACGCCCCCCTTGCTTACACAAAAAAGGGCGTGGTCAAAATCGCGGTGCGCTTCGCGCACCACTTCAGTCCGCCCTTCCTTCTGCTTTGCCCTACCGTTACCTAAGCTTTGGCTATGCCACTGATTACACAACTAAATATACAAGAGCGATTTACCTGCCTATAAGAATGAGCTGCCTAATGCAAGGCTGTAGCAGGACTGAGGGCTGTAAAAGTCCCTCGAGATTGCCTGAACAATTTTTCTGTAGTTTATTAACTATAACTAATAATGTGGTTTATAATGAAACCTTTCCCAATTGACCTATTCGACGAATTCCATTTTTTTCCTATTCTGTAGAAGTTCCTCAAAAATTCACGTAAGGTAAGTGTCTAGATAACTTGGAACATATTTGTTTCCGAGCCAATACAGCTTTGCCAATAGTGTTACAACATGTGTTAGATGTTACATCTTGTATAGAATACTAAAATTAGGTGTTTTCTGCTATTTTAACTGTCTAATGCTGGACTGTTTACTGCTGTGAGTAGTTTTAAAGGTAAAACTGACTAAAAATTAGTTTTATAGCTACAAAACGGGCAAAACATCATACTGCAATGGAAGGAAATGCTTAATTTGCCAAAAAGACCTATCACATACCAAGACTGCTTTGATGAGATGCTTAATTTTTTTGAGAAGCATATTGAAATAGATGCAGTTAGTGTGGGTGTATGTTGCATTATTTGGATAAAAAACGAAATCGCTGGAATCAGAACTTAGTTCCTAACTTGCCTAAAGCAGATGACCATACT